TTCATGTTGTATCAAGCCTCAGAGAGTCTAACAAACACACCAGTAACTTTAGGATCTGATGTGAATATAACCTGTGATCTTGATATAGAGGAGATTTACTGGTACAAACTGAAATTACCGGATCCTCCAGAGTTGATTGTACGCTCTTTTGATAGTACAGTTGAAGGAGGAGGTAAATATGAAAACATCATCTATAAACACAAATACTCAGTGAAAACTAACAGTCGTCTGTTCATCAAGAATATCACCATTGATGAATTAGGAGTTTATTATTGTGTGAAAACTAGTGAACCACTAAAATTCAACAACGGCATCAAAATCTACATCAGCGGTGAGTTATTTTATAATTTCATGTCTTTATAAACCACATGATGGAGTCCATATTTAATATACTGTATGAAGAACTAATAATAGTTGTATTATTCTGTTAAAGACTGAAACTGAAAGATTGAACTATAAACTTTTACAGACGTTGTCCAAAAGAATATTACAGACTCGGTCCACATGAATCAGACAGAAGACGCTCCACAACAGCAGATACCATGGAGAAATATGACCATCATCATATCTGTCCTGCTGAATGTGCTTCTGATCATTGCATTAATAGGTTTGTTCATGTTTTACAGTAAAAGTGTTACAAGGAGACGAACTCTAGATCTACACAAATGTAGCCGGTTCACACAGAATGTGTTTTTCTATTCCACTGCCCTACTTTTGCCCTAATTTTTTTTAATGTAAACACACACTAAACTCATTTAACCCTCAGGTGCTCTTCGGTCATTTCTGACCGAAAAACTTTCTGTTTTGAAATTTTAAAAATCACAGCTTCATCTGAATGTTACGAAACTTGGTGACTTTTAAGGCATTGGGTATGTGAACACAAAAAAAATTGAGGTCATGATCCGAGCAGGCTAAGTGGTCGTAAAAAAATAGTCACACTTGTGCTCTTCGGTCAAAAATGACCGACCCAAATGAATGGGAAATTGACAAAAACACAAAAACTTTGAGAATTTTTGTGTGTACAATCTACAAATTGGCCACGATGCAGAAAAAAAGTGCTCAGCATTGAAGGGGTGACACTCTAAAACATCAAGAGTGCAAAACAGACATACCCACCCCTACGCACACACATACACACACACACACTTTTATACACAAAAACACCAATAAATTGTGATTAAAGAAATCACAGCTTCAGAAAATTGCGAAACTTGGTGACTTTTATGGCATTGGGTATGTGGACACAAAAAAATTGAGGTCATGATTCTAGCAATTTAAGTGGTCGTAAAAAATGAGTCACACTTTTGCTCTTCTGTCAAAAATGACGACCCATAGGAAATGAATGGGAAATTGACAAAAAAAAAAAAAAAAAAAAAAAAAAAAATTCTCTGAATTTTTTGTATGTACAATCTACAAATCGGCCACAATTCTAAAAAAAAGTACACCGCGGGAAAGGGGTGACACTCTACAACATCTAGAGTGCAAAACAGACACACACACCAACACACACACACATACAAACACACTTTTATACACATACACACCAATAAATTTTGATTACAAAAAGTATGTTTTGAATTTTTAAAAATCACAGCTTCATCGCAATGTTACGAAACTTGGTGACTTTTATGGCATTATGTATGTGAACACACAAAAAAATTGAGGTCATGATCTAAACAGGCTAAGTGGTCTTAAAAAAAATAGTCACACTTGTGGTCTTTGGTCAAAAATGACCTCATAGGAAATGAATGGGAAATTGTAAAAAAATGAAAAATTGTGAATATTTGTTTGCCATTTTTTTTTATAAGAAATAGTTTTTGAGATTGTTTCAACTATATATACAAATCCACCAACAACAACAACAACAACAAAAAAATGTGTTCATTAACAGCTGGGGAATTCACATGCCTCTCAATAGAGAGCTGTACATGCCATCAAGTGGTTACACCATGATTCTACGCTTTTTCTCTATACTGTAACCAGATGGTGCTAATTTTCTTCAAAAAATATTTTTTTTCTGAAGGCCTAGACTCTATATTAAACTAAAATACTGCATTAATATTTTTTTGAAAAAAATAATATATATATATATATATATATATATAGAAAAATATATATATATTTTCCATGGCAAAAATAAACAATAAATATTGCATAAATATTAATAAATTCAATTAAATTGTCTCAAAATAATAAATTAAAAAGAATAAATATTATAGAACAAAAATAAATTGCATTGGTTTTACTGGGATGGAGAAAGTTTCATTTTTAGGTGTCCGGTCACTTTTGACGATAACAAGTGTGACTCCGAAACGAAGAGCACTTGAGGGTTAACTGTTGCGCTCACGTCTGTCTTCTTTTTCAGCGTCTCGTGCGAGACATGCCGTTACATGCCTTACAGTTCCTAAAAAAATTTAAACTTTTAAGAAACTTTTTTCGTTCCCCAGGCCTGAATCTCACATTTTTCACAGTAAAACACGTTCTCTGTGAATCAGCTCTTGGACTGTAATGTGTGAATTCAGTGATGTTTCATATTCAGTGTGTTTCAGGTTTGCTGAAGATTTTAATTGATGCAACTGGAAAATCTGCTGCTCAAAACTCGAATAATCCACAGGTGAGATGCATCTTCAATATTAATATATGTTATCTTATTATTTCCTCTATTATCCTGATTCTTACAGTGAAACTTCAAACGCAAGATTCATTAAATGATCTGAAATGTTTATGACCAGCTGACTGTTCATTATGTCTAATATACTGTATATGGTCGTTCATATATAATATGGTCCTCTTTCAGTGTGCTGAAGATGATTTCTTCATGTGCTCCAGAAACACCAGAACTAGTCAGGAGCAGACCACTACTGTCTACAGACAATGTACCATGTGATACACGTTAGGAATATTGTTACAGTGTGCGTCTGCACCGTCCTGTCTGCGTCTCCAGCACTACACTTCCCATGATCCTCTCGTCTGCACACCTGAACTCACTCCCTCATCAGCCTCCCGTTCAGCGTCCTGTTCATCTGTTACACCTGTTTTCCACCTCGTTATGTTTGATTCATCTGTGTATTTAGTTCCCTCTGTTTGATTCAGTCTTTGTCGGTCGTTGGTGTTGTTAGCCCGTGTGGCGCCCCTGTTCCTGTCTTCCTGCCTGTTTATATATATATATATATATATTAAAACATATATCTTTACCGATATTCCGGACTCCTCATTCCTCTGCCTGAACCACACCGTGACAAATATAAAGTGTACCTACTTTTTTGTATGTAAATATGCAGTGATAGTAACACTTTTTTTTTGCTGGTACTGTTTTAAGTGGAGATCTTGCATATATATATATATATATATATATATGAAGAGTTCAGATGCAAAAGCCTCTAAATGCCATTTGAAATTTTCTTCTTTAATGATAATTTTTTATCAAACTTGTATATTTAAGTTCAGTAATTTCACTTAAATAACAATTAATAGGTAATTATCATTGCCATTTAAGTGAAATTACTGAACTTAAATATACAAGCTTGATAAAAATTATCATTATAGAAGAAATTTTCAAATGGCACTTAGAGGCTTTTGCATCTGAACTCTTCATATATATATATATAGTAATTGGCCTTATGCACAGCTGCACTACTTCCTGAACTTAAGCCAGCTCCTTGTTTCCTGTCTGCTGTTAATTTGGACAAATTGATTAATCCAGGTGAGCCTGACCTCAGTACGGCAACAATAATCAGACACACCTGAATTAATCAATTTGTCCAATAATATCAAACAGGAAACAAGGAGCTGGCTGAAGTTCAGGAAGTAGTGCAGCTGGGCATAAGGCCAATTGTTCTTCTCTCTGTTATAAGTGCGCTGACATGCTCAGCAGTAAAAGTTATAAACCACAAGATGAGCTTTCTTGGGGCTGAAGCAGATTCTTATCAGTAAAAATGCTAGTTTTTTTGTTTGTTTTTTGTTTTTTGTTTTTTTACACATATTTGACAAAGCTTAAAGACCACAAAACAAATTTCAATAAATCTAAAGATATTTGTGGCACACATATTAATATTTTGAAATTTTTTTTTTTTCCACATATTTAAAAATATCTGACTTCTGCTCTCTGTTTTTGTGGTTAACACAAGCATGGTTTCGTGCAAATGAAGTTTACCACTGGTTTGGTCACTTGATGAACAACACGATCACACACACTTGCAGGCATCAAGCGGTTTCAACCTTAACCAAATGAACATGACATGAAACACCATGATAACTCTTTACAATTATGTGCTATTTGTTAAACTTAACCATCAAGAACTAACAATAATAATAATAATAATAATAAAGAAATACTTCAACAGCAGTTATTAATTTTAGTTCATGCTCATTTAATTTTTATTGAAATGTATTGAAGTAGATAATTAAAAACACAAGCATGTAATGTAATTTAATGAACCTGAGCTAACGTGAACTAACAATGAACAGCTGAATTTGTACTAACATTAACAAAGATTATTAAATTGTATAACAACTGTTAGAAATAAGTTTCACACTTCCTACCATTTTAGTTAAAAAGAAGTAGGCAAAAAGAAATCCAATCGAGATTAATTAAAATACATAGAGAACTCACTTGTGGGGATAAATATTGTTTATAGTTGTAATATTAAGAGACATAAACTAAAAACCTCATCCAAACTTATGAGTTAATAATCATGAGTTAGAACGAGAATAGTTGAAGAAAACATTATTTTTGTGTTTGAATGACTCTGAAAAAAAGAAAACGGGCTGTTCTCAGTGTCTCAGGTCCTTTTGCTGCCAGTGAATTGGAGATAAATATTTATTTAAAGACAAGAAATGATGCATAGGTCAATGGTTTGAGTTTTGCACAAATAGACAAAAGAACGAAACGTGTGGCCAAAGCAAACCTGCCTTTGACTTCCTCTTGACTGCGATTAGATCACACTATCCGTCTGAAAGCTCAGAGGTAACGGTACATCTCTACAGTCGTGTGAAAGAAACAAGACGCGTCACGCTGAAGTGTGTTAACATCATGAAGATTGTGCAGCTTCATCTCTGTGAGTTCATGTACTTTATCAATATCTGATTGTTCTATGTAAGATAATTTATAATGACATGATAATAATCCAAATTATGTGTGTGTGGTGTTTATTTCATAGATCTGCTCATATGGTGTGAAGCTGCGGAGACTTTAACTGATCAACTAACAGATTTGGGTCTAAATGTGACTATAAACTGTGATTTTGATGGAAAGGAGGTTTATTGGCTTTTACAGAAACTTCCAGATCCTCCGGTTGGCATATTACTCTCTTCCACAACGTCATCTACTCATTACTACAGTAAAGCTTTTAGGCAGAAATATTCAGTGCAAAGTAATCATCGCCTGTTCATAAATAATGTCACTATTGATGATTTAGGACTTTATTACTGTGTGACCAGAGACAGTCCTCCAAAATACAGCAACGGCACCAGAATACACATCAGCGGTGAGTGAACATTCAGTGATCATCAAGCTAAACACTTAATCACTGTTACACAAATACATGTGAAATATTAATATTAAACCCCTTCAATGAATACACAGGACCAACTCCGACTGCAGAGATCCAGAATCAGACAGCGGTGAAGATCATTGAGAGGAATCAGACACATTGGCAGATTATTATCCTCATATCTGCTCTGTTGAACGCTGTTCTGATCATTGTGATCATAGGTGAGATCTTTAGTGAAATTATACATGTATGTCTCCAAACGTGAATTCTCACTATAATATCAGTATGCTATTTTACCTTTTATAAAATATATTTTAACAGCTCTTGCAGTTACAGCTCTTTATAGTCACTACAAATGTTATGTTACAGAAAAAAGAAAACCATGACAAATCTGGGTGATTAAACAATGTTTTTTGTCTGAGCGAGTAATTTAATGTTAAATCTGATTTCATTTTAAGGACTCTTAAAGATGTTTGTTCATGCAAGAAACGGAGACGACATGAAACAATTTCACAGTACAGACCGACGAAATCTTCAAGATATGGATTTCGAACCTCAAGACTCAACACAAACACTGATATGTTACATGAAAATATAAAGTAACACAATATGTCTTTGTCACAGAGCACTCAACGATGCCTCCTCCTGGTTACATCAGATCTCTCTCGCCTGTGTACTAGGACTACATTTCCCATGATCCTTCCCTGCTCATCATCTCCTAATTTTTTTTTTTTTGAAGTGTTGATTTACACACTCTATCTCTGACCTGTTTTCTCATGCTTGCTTGTGTATTTTGACTTGGACTCTGAGTTTCTGAACTTCAGCCACGACCCCTGACCTCTTCCTGTTTAAACTACTATTCTTGGATTGCCCTTGTCTGTGAGCTGTTTTTGAGTTTTATGTCTGCTGTTTTATGCTGGCTCACCTGTATTAATAAATTACTGCAGATGGATTCAATCGCCTCAGCCTCTTCGTCACAGTCTTCTTCAATATGGTTACAATTATGCATATGTTAATTTTATACTACAGGGCTGTTGAATGCTTGATTCTGATTGGTTGAGAACGTTCTAAGGTGCCCAATTATTTTCAGGGAAAAAGTAGTTTCAGGCAGGTTTGACCTCATCACAGTTCCATATCACTGCGCAGTTAACTGTAATAACGGAAAATAGGATACAATTCATAACAAGAAAAAAACATGCAGCACCATGCGCTTGATCTGCAACTTCACAATCAATGGACACATACAGTTTAATTTGAATAAATAAATCATGTAGTCCTATCTATAAAGGCTAAATATAAAATTAATCTGAATAGGCTATATAAATAAATTGATGGTCCTGCTGCCCGGATTTTCTTAATTATGCCAGATAATATAACAAATAAATAATTATTGATAGGCCTACTTGTTAAAAGGGCTTTGTTTGTTTCATTTATTGGGTCATCTACTGTCAATTATAGAAAACAAGAGTGAACGAATTAATTAAAACGAATTTAATTAATAAATAAATAATAATATTGACACACATGCTTTTCTGTGTCATTATTTCAACATCTCTCTCTCTCTTCCTCTCTCTAATAACTGCATTAATAACTGCATAAAGCCGGGACACACTTAAGGCCTACTAAGGCCAGATATGAATGTAATTTGATACTTATGACTGATCATGCCCAAACACGTGTTCAGCGCATTCAGTCTGTGTTCACAGTTGGTGTTTAAAGCCCGGTGTGGTGAAGAGATGAGTCCCCCTGAAAAGATGGATCCCACCTTAGGACCCCATAGTATGCCAGTAGTATGCCTGATCGAAATATGTTCTCACGATAACTTGATAAAAGCAGTTTGTTGCCATCAAGTAATACGTTTATTTGTTTAGCGCTTTTCATAGTAGGTTGCGTCAACAGCAGAGGAGAAAGTCCGCGAAATTTAAAAATATTACTGTTATTGTATCATGAAATGTAATTTTAAGAGTTTTTAAGTCGAGAATATAGTTGTTTAAAGCTCAAATCTGTGGTTTATTTATAAAGATTGCACCTTTTTAAGACATTGTTCTGACGTTTTCCGAGTTGTCAGAACCAGGGATCAGCAGCACATCTAAAGTTAACTAGCCCGCCTGGAAGAGCCTTAACTCGGCTAGTCATTTTGACGTTTGCTGCGGATAAACGCTATGCTACTATGTAAGCTAACTAAAAAACAATAAGAACGAGAAATGTTTAAATTTACAATCTACAGCTTCGGTTATATACTAGTATATGAAACATATAAGTTAAAATACATTAATGACTCCTTATAACGTACTTCAAACGTCTCTTATAATAAACTGATTTTCTCTAATTTGTAACCAGGCACTAAAGCGTTTACCCATAAAACTAGCTTTGAACCAATCGGATCGCTTGGGTCCTAAGGTGGGACTCATCTCTTCACCACACCAGAACACACCAAGCCGACCCCAACGAACTAGCGCTGATGAAAGCCAACTGTGTTGTCGCCTTTCGTCCCCTCTCGTCGAGGTAAAAAGCTGCAGTTGAACACACGAGAGAACTACAGGCGACCGTCAGCTAGAATGTGCGTTCTGCACCTGCGTGTAATGAGCCAACTGTCTATTTCTGCTGATAGTCTATATTCGGCATTCAAAAAGGAAAACCGACGCTGCCGGCTGCAGATACACATACCGTAAACAAAGCAGCGCGTGCTTACCTTTTTGAATATCAATCCTGCTGAACACTTTCCTCTCCGCTCATGTTAATATTGAAATATTCGCCAAGGAACACTCAGGTAAGATGACATAACAGAACAGCCTACTATCTTTACCGTTTTGACTTCTTTGCTTGCTATTTTGCGTTTATTCTCGTGCACTTACTTTCACTAAGCTGAACAGCCAATCAGAGTTCTCTCTTTCCCCAACGGCCCGACGCCGATTCAACATGTCGAATCGCGCGAAACAAAGCCGAGGAGGACTATTTTCAGCCAATGGCAAGGAACCGTGCGCATCACACCGAGGAAACTTAGTTGGTCGACGCACAAAATCTGCCAGATGGCCGACCGTCGGCTTGGTGTGTTCAGGGCTTAAGACCTGCTACAGTCGATGGAAACAGTCGGTCTTCGAATATTTCAGCGAGTCGTAAGTGTGTCTGCTATCAGTGTCTCAAACTTCCGTTACTGACTCTAAAATGACGTTTTGGAATTAGCAACGGAGGCATGGGATTAGATGCGTAAGAAATTAGTCCTACACACAAGAGTGTTTAATGACAAAATCTTGACAACGTCTTTATATGCATCATCTGATTCTGAACAATGTTTTGAGGTGTGGTTACTGTAGTATAAGCAGAATAATTGACCACAGGCCTTTAAATTATTAGAAAAATAATGCACACCCGAGGTGTAACGGCCACTCCGCCTCGCGTCTTGACCGCATTACCACCTCGGGTGTGCATTATTTTTCTAATAATTAAACAGCCTGTGGTCAACAAGACGAGTGCACCTTAAAAAAACTTACATCTCAATCTCAATAAATAAATAAATATTTTGTAAAATGTATATTTTATATAAAATAAAAAATATACAGTATAGCATATTTGATTTGTTGGCACAAAACATTATTGGCTTTACCAACAACATAAAAATGAGCAAAATAAGCATTGTAATTATATATAAGACCATAACAGTCCTATACCGTAGTGCTCTTGCAATGGGTGTATGTTTCATGTATTACAGGTCAAAACGTTTTGGTGGTTTTGTACTTCTGGATGAGTGGCGTGGACTCTGCGCCACCCCTGTAACCCCTCCACAGCCCTCTTGAGAAGGATCAGGAACGGCTTGTTTTTCCTCCTCTGGTGTACAGGGTTGAATCGACATGTTAGTCCCTGAACAGTCAGTTTCTTTAACAAGCTCATCCTCTACAACCCGAGATCTCACCTGGTCGCCATGTCTCCTGAAAGTGACATCTGTGTCTCGTCCCTGAACCTTGTGAGACACCTGAGGCAGTTGGGTTAGCCGCTATTGCAGCTAGAATTAGAATTAGCCGGCACACGTTGATGAATGCGGGCCAGCAAGCGACTAACCGACGAGGTCCCCAAGTGGCTTTGGGAACCAGCTGAGAGGCTGTCCAGAGGTAGGGGTACAGTGAACACAAACAAAACAAAACAAAGAAGCGGCGAACAAACAGCTCCAGCGTCCTCTCATGTCTGCCGATGACTTGTTGACATTAGATGATATTATATTACGATGGTTATATAAAGTATATGTTTTTTTGAGGAGCAAATCAAAATTCCCACATCTGTGTATTCAAATTAAACACACTGGCATATTAACACAAACTATATCTTCTAATTACTTGTTGATTTAAACATAAGAATGATGATGTTCTCAGAGAAGCCCAGCTCTGACTTCCCCTCTCGTCTGTGTGGTCGAGGTTTGAGTTTCCTCTCACAGTACGAGATGTGTGAATGATCACTATAGCAGATATTATTCATCTGGATCAGATCATGAAGATCATACAGCTGCAGATCTGTGAGTTTCTCATGTCATATTTGATTAAATCAGTTTTATTTAGATTTTATATCTTAATAAATGTGTATTTCTTTCTGTCATAGATCTGTTCATGTTGTATCAAGCCTCAGAGAGTCTAACAAACACACCAGTAACTTTAGGATCTGATGTGAATATAATCTGTGATCTTGATATAGAGGAGATTTACTGGTACAAACAGAAATTACCGGATCCTCCAGTGTTGATTTTACGCACTTACAGCAACACTCATGAAGGAGGTAAATATGAAAACAGCATCTATGAACACAAATACTCAGTGAAAACTAACAGTCGTCTGTTCATCAAGAATATCACCATTGATGAATTAGGAGTTTATTATTGTGTGAAAACTAGTGAACCACTAAAATTCAACAACGGCACCAAAATCTACATCAGCGGTGAGTTATTTTATCATTTCATGTTTTTATAAACCACATGATGGAGTCCTTATTGAATATACTGAATAAAGATCTAATAATAGTTTAATTATTCTGTTAAAGACTGAAACTGAAAGATTGAACTATAAACCTTTTACAGACTTTGTCCAAAAGAATATTACAGACTCGGTCGACATGAATCAGACAGAAGACGCTCCACAACAGCAGATACCATGGAGAAATATGACCATCTTATCTGTCCTGCTGAATGTGCTTCTGATCATTGCATTAATAGGTTTGTTCATGTTTTACAGTAAAAGTGTCAGTGAACTACAAGGAGACGAACTCTAGATCTACACAAATGTAGCCGTTCACACAGAACGTGTTTTTCTATTCTACTGCCCTACTTTTTTTTTTTTGCTTTTTTTATGTAAACACTAAATTCTTCTTTTGCAGCTCTCGTGCGAGACATGTCGTTCTTAAAGTTCGTCAAAAAGAGTTAAACTTTAAAAAACACATTTCTGTAGAAACTTGTTTCGTTCCCCAGGCCTGAATCTCACATTTTTCACAGTAAAACACGTTCTCTGTGAATCGGCTCTTGGACTGTAATGTGTGAATTCAGTGATGTTTCATATTCAGTGTGTTTCAGGTTTGATGAAGATTTTAATTGATGCAACTGGAAAATCTGCTGCTCAAAACTCGAATAATCCACAGGTGAGATGCATCTTCAATATTAATATATGTTATCTTATTATTTCCTCTATTATCCTGATTCTTACAGTGAAACTTCAAACACAAGATTCATTAAATGATCTGAAATGTTTATGACCAGCTGACTGTTCATTATGTCTAATATACTGTATATGGTCGTTCATATATAATATGGTCCTCTTTCAGTGTGCTGAAGATGATTTCTTCATGTGCTCCAGAAACACCAGACCTAGTCAGGAGCAGACCACTACTGTCTACAGACAATGTACCATGTGATACACGTTAGGAATATAAAGTGTCTCTACATATGTTTTTTTTTTTTTACAAACTAAAATTTGTTGTTATTATATTTTAAATATGTGGATTTTAATTTTCATTTCCATTCATGAGTTTTCTGCTTTGTATCTAAATATGCAGTGTGTATGACACAAGTGTGTAAACACTTTTTTTTATCTGTTTTAAGTGGAGATCCTGCTTATATACTGTATAATAATATAATCGTTTTCTTCTCTCTGTTATGAATGCGCTGAAATGCTCAGCAGTAAAAGTTATAAACCACAAAAGCTTTCTTGGGGCTGAAACATGAAATCATTTTTGAAATCATGACATTTTCTGATAGTTTATTTGTTTTACAGCGATTTGACAACACTTGAAGTCAAGAAAACAAATGTCAGTAAATGAAGATATTTTTTACATGCATATTAATATTTTGAAATATTTTTTTCATATATTTAAAAATATCTGACTTCTGCTCTCTGTTTTTGTGGTTAACACAAGCATGGTTTCGTGCAAATGAAGTTTTCCACTGGTTTGGTCACTTGATGAACAACACGATCACACACACTTGCAGGCATCAAGCGGTTTCAACTTTAACCAAATGAACATGACATGAAACACCATGATAACTCTTTACAATTGTGTGCTATTTGTTAAACCTAACCATCAAGAACTAACAATAATAAAAAAGAAATACTTCAACAGCAGTTATTAATTTTAGTTCATGCTCATTTAATTTTTATTGAAGTTTATTGAAGTAGATAATTAAAAACACAAGCTGTACCTGTTAATATATTTAATGAACCCGAGCAAACGTGAACTAACAATGAACAGCTGAAAATGTACTAACATTAAGAACTAAACAAAGATTATTAAATTGTATAACAAATGTTAGAAATAAGTCTCACACTTCTTATAATTTTAAAAAGAAAAGAACTAGGCAAAAGAAATTCAATCCAAATTAATTAAAATACATACAGTACTCACTTGTATTGAGGATAAATATTGTTAGTTGTAATATTAAGAGACAGACACTGAAAACCTCATCTACGCTGAGTTAATAATCATGAGTTAGAACGAGAATAGTTGAAGAAAACTTCATATTTGTGTTTGAAAGGCCATGAAAAAAAAGAAAAGAAAATTGGTCTGTTCTCAGTGTCTTGAGTCCTTTTCCTGCCAGTGAATTAAAGATAAATATTTTTTTAAAGACAATAAATGATGTAAAGATCAAGGTTTGAGTTTTGAACAATAGACAACAGAACTAAACCAGAGCAAACCTGCCTTTGACTTCCTCTTGACTGCGGTTAGATCAGAATATAGGTAACGGTACATCTCTACAGTCGTGTGAAAGAAACAAGACTCACGCTGAAGTGTGTTAACATCATGAAGATTGTGCAGCTTCACCTCTGTGAGTTCATGTACTTTATCAATATCTGATTGTTCTTTGTAAGATAACTTATAATGTTTAATGACATGATAATAATCCATATTTAGCGTGTCTGTTGTGTTTATTTCATAGATCTGCTCATATGGTGTGAAGCTGCGGAGACTTTAACTGATCAACTTACAGATTTGGGTCTAAATGTGTCTATAAACTGTGATTTTGATGTAAAGGAGGTTTATTGGCTTTTACAGAAACTTCCAGATTCTCCGGTTGGCATATTATTCTCTTCCACAACGTCATCTACTCATTACTACAGTAAAGCTTTTAGGCAGAAATATTCAGTGCAAAGTAATCATCGCCTGTTCATAAATAATGTCACTATTGATGATTTAGGACTTTATTACTGTGTGACCAAAGACGTTCCTCCAAAATACAGCGACGGCACCAGAATACACATCAGCGGTGAGTGAACATTCAGTGATCATCAACACTAATCACTGTTACACAAATAACAGGACCCCCTCGAAAACGAGATGTTACATCTCAAGGGGCTATCCTTCGAATAAATTTCAAATAAATAAATACATATTCAATATTAATATTAAACCCCTTCAATGAATACACAGAACCAACTCCGACTGCAGAGATCCAGAATCAGACAGCGGTGAAGATCATTGAGAGGAATCAGACACATTGGCAGATTATTATCCTCATATCTGCTCTGTTGAACGCTGTTCTGATCATTGTGATCATAGGTGAGATCTTTAGTGAAATTATACATGTGTGTCTCCAAACGTGAATTCTCACTATAATATCAGTATGCTATTTTACATTTTATAAAGGATATTTTAACAGCTCTTGCAGTTACAGCTCTTTATAGTCACTACAAATGTTATGTTACAGAAAAAAGAAAACCATGAAAAATCTGGGTGATTAAACAATGTTTTTGTCTGAGCGAGTAATTTAATGTTAAATCTGATTTCATTTTAAGGACTCTTAAAGATATTTGTTCATGCAAGAAATGAAGACGACTTGAAACAATTTCACAGTACAGACCGACGAAATCTTCAAGATATGGATTTCGAACCTCAAGACTCAACACAAACACTGATATGTTACATGAAAATATAAAGTAACACAATATGTCTTTGTCACAGAGCACTCAGCGATGCCTCCTCCTGGTTGCATCAGATCTCTCTCATGTGTACTAGGACTACATTTCCCATGATCCTTCCCTGCTCATCATCTCCTGATTATCCCGTCTTCATTGCATTAGTATCACCTGTGCCCCATCAGCTCCCCTTTATCTGGACTGTTCTGTTCATTGTAATTTTGTGAAGTCTTGATTGACCCACTCTATCTCTGACCTGTTTTCTCATGCTTGCTTGTGTATTTTGACTTGGACTCTGAACTAGTTTCTGAACTTTAGCCACGACCCCTGACCTCTTCCTGTTTAAACTACTATTCTTGGATTGCCCTTGTCTGTGAGCTGTTTTTGAGTTTTATGTCTGCTGTTTTATGCTGGCTCACCTGTATTAATAAATTACTGCAGATGGATTCAATCGCCTCAGCCTCTTCGTCACAGTCTTCTTCAATATGGTTACAATTATGCATATGTTAATTTTATACTACAGGGCTGTTGAATGCTTGATTCTGATTGGTTGTGAACGTTCTAAGGTGTGCAATTATTTTCAGGGAAACGCGCGGCTAAAGTAGTTTCAGGCAGGTTTGACCGCATCACAGTTCCATATCACTGCGCAGTTAACTGTAATAACGGAAAATAGGATACAATTCATAACAAGAGAAGACATGCAGCACCATGCGCTTGATCTGCAACTTCACAATCAATGGACACATACAGTTTAATTTGAATAAATAAAGTATGTAGTCCTATCTATAGGCTATATAAATAAATTGATAGTCCTGCTGCCCGGATTTTCTTAATTATTCCAGATATGTTTAATTGTGTTTATTTAAAATGTTTATTTGTTTTGCGCTTTTCAAGTAATATGTTTATTTGTTTAGCGCTTTTCAAGTAATACGTTTATTTGTTTAGCGCTTTTCATAGTAGGTTGCGTCAACAGCAGAGGAGAAAGTCCGCGAAATTTTAAAATATTACTGTTATTGTATCATGAAATGTAATTTTAAGAGTTTTTAAGTCGAGAATATAGTTGTTTAAAGCTCAAATCTGTGGTTTATTTATAAAGATTGCACCTTTTAAAAACATTGTTCTGACGTTTTCGGAGTTGTCAGAACCAGGGATCAGCAGCACATCTAAAGTTAACTAGCCCGCCTGGAACAGCCTTAACTCGGCTAGTCATTTTGACGTTTGCCGCGGATAAACGCTATGCTACTATGTAAGCTAACTAAAAAACAATAAGAACGAGAAATGTTTAAATTTACAATCTACAGCTTCGCTTATATACTAGTATATGAAACATATAAGTTAAAATACATTAATGACTCCTTATAACGTACTTCAAATGTCTCTTATAATAAACTGATTTTCTCTAATTTGTATCCAGGCACTAAAGCGTTTACCCATAAAACTAGCTTTGAACCAATCGGATCGCTTGGGTCCTAAGGTGGGACTCATCTCTTCACCACACCGGAACACACCAAGCCGACCCCAACGAACTAGCGCTGATGAAAGCCAACTGTGTTGTCGCCTTTCGTCCCCTCTCGTCGAGGTAAAAAGCTGCAGTTGAACACACGAGAGAACTACAGGCGACCGTCAGCTATAATGTGCGTTCTGCGCCTGCGTGTAATGAGCCAACTGTCTATTTCTGCTGATATATTAGTCTATATTCGTCATTCAAAAAGGAAAACCGACGCTGCCAACTGCAGATACACATACCGTAAACAAAGCAGCGCGTGCTTACCTTTTTGAATATCAATCCTGCTGAAAACTTTCCACTCCGCTCATGTTAATATTGAAATATTCGCCAAGGAACACTCAGGTAAGATGACATAACATACGAACAGCCTACTATCTTTACCGTTTTGACTTCTTTGCTTGCTGTTTTGCGTTTATTCTCGTGCACTTACTCTTTCACTAAGCTGAACAGCCAATCAGAGTTCTCTCTTTCCCCAACGGCCCGACGCCGATTCAACATGTCGAATCGCGCGAAACAAAGCTGACGAGGACTATTTTCAGCCAACGGCAAGGAACCGTGCGCATCACAACTAAGAAACTTAGTTGGCCGACGCACAAAATCTGCCAGACGGCCGACCGTCGGCTTGGTGTGTTCAGGGCTTAAGACCTGCTACAGTCGATGGAAACAGTCGGTCTTCGAATATTTCAGCGAGTCGTAAGTGTGTCTGCTATCAGTGTCTCAAACCTCCGTTACTGACTCTAAAATGACGTTTTGGAATTAGCAACGGAGGCATGGGATTAGATGCGTAAGAAATTAGTCCTACACACAAGAGTGTTTAATGACAAAATCTTGACAACGTCTTTATATGCATCATCTGATTCTGAACAATGTTTTGAGGTGTGGTAACTGTAGTATAAGCAGAATAATTGACCACAGGCCTTTGAATTATTAGAAAAATAATGCACACCCGAGGTGTAACGGCCACTCCGCCTCACGTCTTGACCGCATTACCACCTCGGGTGTGCATTATTTTTCTAATAATTAAACAGCCTGTGGTCAACAAGACGAGTGCACCTTAAAAAAGCTTAAATCTCAATCTCAATAAATAAATAAATATTTAGTAAAATGTATATTTTATATAAAATAAAAAAATATACAGTATAGCATATTTGATTTGTTGGCACGAAACATTATTGGCTTTACCAACAACATAAAAATGAGCAAAATAAGCATTGTATTTATATATAAGACCATAACAGTCCTATACCGTAGTGCTCTTGCAATGGGTGTATGTTTCATGTATTACAGGTCAAAACGTTTTGGTGGTTTTGTACTTCTGGATGAGTGGCGTGGACTCTGCGCCACCCCTGTAACCCCTCCACAGCCCTCTTGAGAAGGATCAGGAACGGCTTGTTTTTCCTCCTCTGGTGTACAGGGTTGAATCGACGTGTCAGTCCCTGAACAGTCAGTTTCTTTAACAAGCTCATCCTCTACAACCCGAGATCTCACCTGGTCGCCATGTCTCCTGAAAGTGACATCTGTGTCTCGTCCCTGAACCTTGTTTGCTTTACTATCACACATTGAATCATTTTGTTCCCTCCTCCTGTGGTGTTACGGAGCTACACATTATGTTAAAACACAATTAACACAATCAGATCAGAGAGGAAGGCAGAATTGGCGGCAATGAGGGCATCTTTGCAGGCAATGAGGTGGTGTTTATAGGCTTCATGGTGGACTATGAGAGATGATTTTTGTCAGGCGTTTGGCCAGTTTGTTTCGGGTGTGTACTAGGGTGACGAGTTGTTAAAAGTGACTGAGGCGGGCCAGAGTGTTAAAGGAGAAAGAGGTAGGCAGTCAGGTTAGCCGCTATTGCAGCTAGAATTAGAATTAGCCGGCACACGTTGATGAACGCGGGCCAGCAAGCGACTAACCGACGAGGTGCCCAAGTGGCTTTGGGAACCAGCTGAGAGGCTGTCCAGAGGTAGGAGTACAGTGAACACAAACAAAACAAAACAAAACAAAGAAGCGGCGAACAAACAGCTCCAGCGTCCTCTCATGTCCGCCGATGACTTGTTGACATTAGATGATATTATATTACGATGGTTATATAAAGTATATGTTTTTTTGAGGAGCAAATCAAAATTCACACATTTGTGCATTCAAATAAAACACACTGGAATATTAACACAAACTATATCTTTTAATTACTTGTTGATTTAAACATAAGAATGATGATGTTCTCAGAGAAGCCCAGCTCTGACTTCCCCTCTCGTCTGTGTGGTCGAGGTTTGTGTTTCCACTCACAGTACGAGATGTGTGAATGATCACTATAGCAGATATTATTCATCTGGATCAGATCATGAAGATCATACAGCTGCAGATCTGTGAGTTTCTCATGACACATTTCATTAAATCAGTTTTATTTAGATTTTATATCTTAATAAATGTGTATTTCTTTCTGTCATAGATCTGTTCATGTTGTATCAAGCCTCAGAGAGTCTAACAAACACACCAGTAACTTTAGGATCTGATGTGAATATAACCTGTGATATTGATATAGAGGAGATTTACTGGTACAAACTGAAATTACCGGATCCTCCAGAGTTGATTTTACGCACTTACAGCAACACTCATGAAGGAGGTAAATATGAAAACAGCATCTATGAACACAAATACTCAGTGAAAACTAACAGTCGTCTGTTCATCAAGAATATCACCATTGATGAATTAGGAGTTTATTATTGTGTGAAAACTAGTGAACCACTAAAATTCAGCAACGGCACCAAAATCGACATCAGCGGTGAGTTATTTTATCATTTCATGTCTTTATAAACCACTTGATGGAGTCCTTATTGAATATACTGAATAAAGATCTAATAATGTTTAATTATTCTGTTAAAGACTGAAACTGAAAGATTGAACTATAAACCTTTTACAGACTTTGTCCAAAATAATATTACAGACTCGGTCCACAGGAATCAGACAGAAGACGCTCCACAACAGCAGATACCATGGAGAAATATGACCATCTTATCTGGCCTCCTGAATGTGCTTCTGATCATTGCATTAATAGGTTTGTTCATGTTTTACAGTAAAAGTGTTACAAGGAGACGAACTCTAGATCTACACAAATGTAGCCGGTTCACACAGAACGTGTTTTTCTATTCCACTGCAATACTTTTTTTTTTTTTTGCTTTTTTTATGTAAACACTAAATTCTTCTTTTGCAGCTCTCGTGCGAGACATGTCGTTCTTAAAGTTCGTCAAAAAGAGTTAAACTTTAAAAAACACATTTCTGTAGAAACCTTTTTCATTCCCCAGGCCTGAATCTCACATTTTTCACAGTAAAACACGTTCTCTGTGAATCGGCTCTCGGACTGTAATGTGTGAATTCAGTGATGTTTCATATTCAGTGTGTTTCAGGTTTGATGAAGATTTTAATTGATGCAACTGGAAAATCTGCTGCTCAAAACTCGAATAATCCACAGGTGAGATGCATCTTCAATATTAATATATGTTATCTTATTATTTCCTCTATTATCCTGATTCTTACAGTGAAACTTCAAACACAAGATTCATTAAATGATCTGAAATGTTTATGACCAGCTGACTGTTCATTATGTCTAATATACTGTATATGGTCGTTCATATATAATATGGTCCTCTTTCAGTGTGCTGAAGATGATTTCTTCATGTGCTCCAGAAACACCAGACCTAGTCAGGAGCAGACCACTACTGTCTACAGACAATGTACCAGTTTTACAAACTAAAAAATAAAATTTGCTGTTATTATATTTTAAATATGTGGATTTTAATTTCCATTTCCATTCATGAGTTTTCTGCTTTGTATCTAATATGCAGTGTGTATTATAGTAACACTTTATTCTGGTGCTGTTTTAAGTGGAGATCCTGGTTATGTATAATATTTTTTCTTTCTCTATTATAAGTGCGCTGAAATGCTCAGATCTCACACACATAAAACATTTTTTTTTAAAATATGACATTTTCTGCTAGTTTATTTTTATTTTTTTACAGCAATTTGACAACGCTTGAAGTCAAGAAAACAAATGTAAATAAATCTAAAGATATCTTTGACTTTTGTGGTTTTCTTTTTCTTGTGGTGAACACAAGCATGGTTTTCGTGCAAATTGAAAATGTTCCACTGGTTTGGTCACTTGATGAACAACACGATCACACACACTTGCAGCATCAAGTTAGTTTGTATTAACTAACATTAACAATGATTAATAATTTGTATAACAAATATTTAGAAATAAGTCTCACACTTCTTACTAATTTTAAAAAGAAAAGCACTAGACAAAAGATTCGATCCAGATTAATTAAAATACACAGAGAACATAATGTTTAGGGTTGTAATATTAAGAGACAGAAACTTGTGAATTAATAATCATGAGTTAGAACGAGAATAGTTGAAGAAAACATCATTTTTGTGTTTAAATGACTCTGACAAAAAGAAAACAGTTTCTCAGTGTCTTGAGTCCTTTTCCTGCCAGTGAATTAAAGATAAATATTTTTTTAAAGACAATAAATGATGTAAAGATCAAGGTTTGAGTTTTGAACAATAGACAACAGAACTAAACCAGAGCAAACCTGCCTTTGACTTCCTCTTGACTGCGGTTAGATCACACTATCCGTCTGAAAGCTCAGAGGTAACGATACATCTCTACAGTCGTGTGAAAGAAACAAGACTCGCGCTGAAGTGTGTTAACATCATGAAGATTGTGCAGCTTCATCTCTGTGAGTTCATGTACGTTATCAATATCTGCTTGTTCTTTACAAGATAATTTATAATGTTTAATGACATGATAATAATCCAAATTATGTGTGTGTGGTGTTTATTTCACAGATCTGCTCATATGGTGTGAAGCTGCGGAGACTTTAACTGATCAACTAACAGATTTGGGTCTAAATGTGTCTATAAACTGTGATTTTGATGGAAAGGAGATTAACTGGTTATTTCTGAAACTTCCAGATTCTCCAGTTCTGATATTACGCACTTTCCCATCTACAACTCCTCATTACTACAAGAATAGATTTAGACAAAAATATTCAGTGCAAAGAAACCCTCATCTTTTCATAAATAATGTCACTATTGATGATTTAGGACTTTATTACTGTGTGACCACAGACCCTCCTCCAAAATATGCGACGGCACCAGAATACACATCAGCGGTGAGTGAACATTCACTGATCATCAAGCTAAACACTTAATTACTGTTACACAAATACATGTGAAATATTAATATTAAACCCCTTCAATGAATACACAGTACCAACTCTGACTGCAGAGATCCAGAATCAGACAGCGGTGAAGATCATTGAGAGGAATCAGACACATTGGCAGATTATTATCCTCATATCTGCTCTGTTGAACGCTGTTCTGATCATTGTGATCATAGGTGAGATCTTTAGTGAAATTATACATGTATGTCTCCAAATGTGGACATTGTGCTCTTAAATTCTCAATTTCTCACTATAATATCAGTATGCTATTTTACATTTTTAAAGAATATTTTAACAGCTCTTTATAGTGACTACAATTATTATGTTACAGAAAAAAGAAAACCATAAAATGTGGGTGATTAAACAATGTTTTCGTCTGAGCGACTAATTTAATGTTAAATCTGATTTCACTTTTAAGGATTCTTAAAGATATTTGTTCATGCAAGAAACGGAGACGACGTGAAACAATTTCACAGTACAGACCGACGAAATCTTCAAGATATGGCTTTCACACAACCTCAAAACTCAACACAAACACTGATATGTTACATGAAAATATAAAGTAATACAATATGTCTTCCTCTGTGTTAAAGTATAAAGCTTATAAATATGGTTATGATTAGGCATATCTGCTGATATTCAGGCCAACAGTGTAACTGAGATCTTGATATTGATTTATGCATAAATATGCTCTGTTTAGGGGCAAGTAATATAAAGAACATAAAACACAATTATACATGTGAGATTTTAATTTTCATAATTTGTCCTAGAATCAGAAATATGTGACAAGAAAATGGATGGAAATAATGTTTTCATGTTTCCTGCTGGCTTTGTTTATGCTTTTGGAGTTAGTTTTATTTCTGTTGAACCAAAAAAATCCATAGCGCAAAGGAAACGCCTCCTGGCCACAAGAGGGCAGTGTTGAGCAAGAACACCAGGATTTAAATAAACTTTTACTGACAATAAATCAAAAACATTGACTACATTGGCTATAAATTTACTAAATCAAACCAAGTTGCATTTCCGTTGTGTTGTGAACCTTTGTTTGTTCACTGCATGCTTTAAATTAAAAACTGTACAAGTCACAGTATTGGCCTGGCCACGTTTAAAATGGCGTCTTAAGTGCTAATGGACGAGGAGTGTCTTCGGCTGTGTCTTGAAGGTTGGGATGGTCTCAACAGATCAGTTTTCCACCACAGAAAAATTCACTAGAAGTTAAAGTAGATCATATGCTGACAAATTTATTTTCCTGTCAAAATACTTACAGTGATGTGAATAAGTTTTGGCACCCATGCTAAAGTTGCCTAAAAAGAGGAATAAAAAATCATCTTTTGGATATTGATCTTAATGCCTTAATTTTGAAAAATGAAAAATGTATCATAAATAAATAAATGTTTTTCCTTAAAATACAGGGTGCATAAGTCAGGACACCCCTATGTTAAATTCCCATAGAGGCAGACAGATTTTTATTTTTAAAAGCCAGTTATTTCATGGATCCAGGACAATATGCATCCTGATAAAGTTCCCCGTGGCCTTTGGAATTAAAATATCCCCACATCATCTCACACCTTCCACCACACCTAGAGATTGGCATGGGGTACTTTCCATAAGATCATCAGTTAGCCTAATAGCTGGTTTGATTTGCATTGAAAGATGATCTTATGGAAAGTACCCCATGCCAATCTCTAGGTGTGGTGAATGGTGTGAGATGATGTGGGTATATTTTAATTCCAAAGGCCAAGGCAACTTTATCAGGATGCATATTATCCTGGATCCATGAAATAACTGGCTTTTAAAAATAAAAATCTGCCTGACTCAATGGGAATTTAATACAGGGGTGCCCTGACTTATGCACCCTGTATTTTAAGGAAAAAACATTTATTTATTTATGATACATTATTCATTCATAAAGAAAATTTGTGTCCTTAAAGGTGCGAGTTTTCCCTCATTTTTCTAATTAAGGCATTAAGATCAATATCCAAAAGATGATTTTTTTATTCCTCTTTTTAGGCAACTTTAGCATGGGTGTCCAAACTTACTCACATCACTGTAAATAAGCTGTATTAAAACATAAAGCACATGTGCTAAAGTTACAATGGTCAGTGGTCTTGATTGAGCTCCTTGTTTTTCTTTTTCATAGTGGACATAAAGACAATTGCTTTAGTAAAAAGCAATGAAAAGATTATTATTACGACAAATTTTCATTATTGAAACGTGTGTGTGTGTATATATATATATATATATATATATATATATAATGAGAAAATGAATGCTCAAATGCTGCATGGTAAAGCAAGAAGACTCAATGCAAAATTGCCAAGATCTTCAAAGTTTCTATCACCTGCAGTATCTGAGTATGCAGAAACATCTTTTGCATTGTTCCTTTCCAGAGAGTGAATTACTCTCCACTGTTGCTCTGCTTTTCCTAAATCTCCCTTGAAGAGGTGGAAAAGGGGAAGATCATCAATCCTTGGCTTACTTGACGACAGAGCATGACTTTGTGACAGGAATTTGAGAGCCTCTAACTGTTGAATGTTATCTGGAAGTCTCTTCCAAATTTCCTTAGATACAGTAACTCTAACACAGAGGTCCTCAACAGGCGGGCCGTATCCAGCCCATCGGCATTCATTTTATGGCCCGCTCATGCAAAAGATGAATGCACTTTTTTTTAACTCAAAGGTTGCACAATATTACCCTATGTAGGCAGGCTATTGAGAATGAGGAGTCACGTGCCTATTTGGGCGGGGTCTGAGCCATTCGGCCATGATGGTAGGTGACGCTATCGGTTACCAGGGTTTTTATCGTTTTTAACGCAGCAGTTACTTCCAGGGATGGTAAAACAGTGCGGTATTGCGATAAACTCCTCTACTACCGAGCTAAAAACACACGTAATCAATACTGTTTTGTCGTGGGAATCCTACCAACATGGCGGAAAGGGGAGGGGCACTGTAAAATGACGTCAACTCCTCATTCTCAATACCGCAGACGCTTTGGATAATCCGTGACTTATTCCTAAAAAAATCATCGTCATTGTGATGTGTGTTGGATGTTTAATGGGACTTATATGGGCTAAATAGAGGAATTAGAGTCTCCGCAACGGAGACTGCAAACCGGCGATGAAGAGAGGCAAGCAGAACCTCACCACACACGGCTCTTACTAAACGTTTCTGAATGATAGTTTGCTAAATTTTTAACTTTTTAACTTTATACCCGTTTGTTTAACACAATAGCATCTGACTGGCAACAATAGCAACTGACTGGCTACTAATGTTATACTCAAACAGCGTTGGCAAGTTTACGTGCTTGATCAAATCGAAAATAACGTCAGCATATATACATGAAAAATACGTTTAAAACATTAGTACTTATACAAAGTTCAGGTCTATAATGTTTGTACACGTTTGTCGTAGACAAAAAAAAAAATACCATAACTAGTAGCCTAGTGGCTATAAAGCCAGCGCTGGCATTTGAAAAAATAAAAATAAAACACTAGGCTACATCTGGAATTAAACATATACATTTAAAATGATGAAGTCTTAGCCTACAGGTTGTGGCCCAACAACTGCTGCCTCTGGTTTTAAAGTTGGAACTGCTTTATGTTTTAGTAACAGTTTCTTGTTGAATCCGCCATTGAATTTGTGGAGATTCTGGAAGCTGTCTTCCGTAAATGCGCAGCACAGAGAGCTAAATTACAATCGTCATTTTCAGGAACATAATCAAACATAAATTGTATCCATTGTTGTCAGCGTCCGTGGGAAGCTCGAACACAGAAGACCTGACAGCTGGTGAACACAACACACTCAACAAGCCGCAGAAATATGACCATGTCCTTTTTTTGCATTTTCCGGAGGGAGGGTTGATGTAAATGTGTGGGTTAGTGACGTCTAAAACCAGCTGTAGTCCCAATCGAGTCGTTTTTGTAGGCAATATACTTCCTGATTTTTAAAAGATGATATCTCTGCTTACACTGAACTTTCAGCGCTGCAACTTTGCAGATACTGTTCATGCACCAACAGCAACCCCACCTCCCCATTAAAGTTAGATGTAATGGACTAGTGGGCCTATTAGTAGGAGGCTATGAATAATATCTTTGTAAAGCCACCCTGAGTATAAAATCATGTCATTTAAATGTCATTATTTTTATTCATGTTCCAGTATTACTTTAAATTGGACAAAGACTAGCAAGACTTAACTTGCATGAATGTTTTTAATGTAAAAAATTGTTGCATTAACATTGCTAGAAAACATTGCTAGAAAACTGTTAATCCACTTTATTGTTCCAGATTTCTTATTTTCACATTCAGTATTAGCTTACTTTAAATAGGACAGGGACCGGTGGAAAATGTTAAAAGTTCTGTTAGGAGTTTTGAAGGGTCGGGTTTGTCAAGTTGAAAGATTTTATTAAGTCTGTTTAACTCTGAAACAATTGGTTGGAGGAATTTCAGGTATATCCTACGCTATCTCACGACCAATTCGTACAAATTCGTACGAGTGATTAAAAAGTGGCAAATTCGTACTAATTCATATGACCTCACTAGTACGAATTCGTACGATTTGTCTAAACCCACGTGATGGTTAGGTTTAGGGGTGGGGTCAGGGGTAGGTCATTCGTACGAATTCATACGAATTGGCCAATTCGTAAAATATGTACGATTTAGAAAAAATCTTACTAATTTGTACGAGTGAGGTCGTACGAATTGTTACGAATTAGCCACCTCGTAAAATTCGTTATGGCTTCGGTTTATTAGCCACCTCGTAAAATTCGTTATGGTTTTGCACAGTTCAGAATATTTTTGGTGGCGCTGGGTGGCTTTTGAAAACCAACTGTAGGTCTGAGAAATGTACTGAAAATTTCTGGGGAGGACATTGACAGCTTTTGATGCACAGAGCTGAAGAAAATGGCACACACACTTTATATAGACAATATGAGGATTGCGGTCACTGAATTGCTGTAGCACTTATGTTATGTTGTCCACACACTGTGTTACAGCCATCAGTTGCAAGACCGATGCAATTCAGTATGGACAATTTGTTGTCATCCAGGAATTTAAACAAAGCATTACAGTAGCTATAGTTAGTGAATCACCAGCTATCATTCCTATTCCTGCAAAAGTGCTAATGATTTGTGAGAGCTTTTTGCTGTAATATCTGATGACTATGCAAAGTTGTTTTCAGGGGTGCGTTTCCCATACAACTATGTCGTTCGCTGCTTCACTACCATAGTACAATGCATCGTTTGAGAAATCAACTAGCTAGTCGCGACTGTTTCCCAAAACCCACTTTCGCAAAGTATCGTTCAGCCACATTGGTTTCGCACGTGGTGGAGTAATAACTACTTTTAATGAAACTGTTTGAGATCCAATTAACGCTAGATTTTCTAATATAAATTACAGACATGTCATCTGAGGACTATTTCTAATTGTTCTCAGTTGTTCTGCTTTATTACCAGACTCAATATTTGGCTCGTTCTTATGTAGTTGAGCCCATTCGCACATGCCCACTCTTCAAAATCGGTACTTTAAATCTTTTGAAAAACTAAAAGATGTAAATTACATTTGTATGTATTCTAAATAAAAGGCACCGGTTGTACTGAATGTCAGCTTGCTTATTTTGCTCAAGATAAGGATTTATCTTGTCCAAATGTCATGAAATATAGAAACGATGTCTCTAACCACAGGTTGAGAGCTGTCGTTCAAACCACACAACTTTGCGATGCTGTTTGCGAATGTTTGTTGGAACGATGGTTTCGGGAAACACCAACTCGTTGAACTATGCTGATAACGACGGAACTTGCGACCATAGTTGGCTAACGATGCTTTCGGGAAACGCACCCCTGGTTGTGACATCAGTGCTCTCATCAACAATAAGAGAGTATGGTCCACTTCCTATATCCTCCAGAAGGTCCTCATGTACTACTGGTCCAATCACTGAATTAATTAGTGCTGTGCATTTCGTTCGATGCAAACTAATACTTTTCTTGGAAATTTCTTCCACAACAGTAGTTAACATGTTAACAAATGAATATGTTAGCAAACTAGGTTGTTAAAGCTAGCTAAGTTTATACTAATAAAAGTGTAGACATTGAGATTACTTGAAAGTTTTAAGTTAAATGTATGATTTAGTGTACTCTAACATTTCAAGTTAAGAATAATTAGTAACCAAACTCCATCGCACACCTGCAGGTGATAGGTGCGTCAGATAATAAGACCAGCTAGTCATTCAAGCAGATAAGGAACTCCCGCACACTATCATTACTTGCACTTTTTAATCAAGTTTATTCACACACAACGTTTCGGTCACACGACCTTCGTCAGGAGTAATCAATACTGTACTCCTGACGAAGGTCGTGTGACCGAAACGTTGTGTGTGAATAAACTTGATTAAAAAGTGCAAGTAATGATAGTGTGCGGGAGTTCCTTATCAAGTTAAGAATAATTAAAATGTATAAGTACAAAATAAAAATATGCCAGTTCTGCTTACTTAAACTTTGAATTCCTTAAAGGGTACATATCATGCTTTTAAATCATTCATTTTTACATATAAATCATGCCGTTGTGGTCTATATATAAAACATAACTGCAATGCTTGGGTCTGAATTCCTCATTATTATAGCTCCACAAGCCCCTTTTCTACCCCTTTTCTGATGTGCGTCTTTGAGCGACGCGTTTTGAAGCATCCCCTTTAAATAAAAAGGGGATGCGTCATACCCCGCCCGCTCTCCAGGTAGATGAGTTCACGGTCAGTTCAACTCCCCACGTTAGGCCATTATTGTAGTTTGATTAGAGAGATATACGATTATATACGATACCTTCAAAGAACATTTTTATTAATACTTTAATAAAATGTCAACAAGAAGACTTGACCTTCAAGCCTTACATATTCGAGCCAGAGCGAGCGAGTTGATAAAGACGATGACGAACCTGCAGAACAACGTCTTCATATGGATGTATTGGTATGTGAGTTAACTATTTTGTGTTATTAGTGAAAGTCGACTATTTCTCTTGTTAAAACAAGCACACTGACAAGATAAATGACTACGGTCTAATCTTACCACAAAAAAATCTGTATTGACAATATGATACGTTTGGAAAAGTATCAGAAAACAACGCAGCTAAATGACCATTGATGAAACTCAAGAACAATAATACTGCAGACGTGTAACGTTACTTCAAAACAAAAACAAAGAAAGACAAAGGTACTGCTAAACCATGACCACCATGTGTTTTAAGAAAGTAAAGTACTTTATTTTTATTAACGATATTTACAGCTTATCAAAATGCTCTGTTCGTCGTCTCCAAAGATAGAAGGAATTTACCTCTCATTCAGACGAAGTCAATCGGCAAACCCTTTATACTGGCGGAGGTTGTTGAAGTGGGAATCCTTGAAGTGCTTCAGGTCACTAACGTACATCCAACAACCGAACATTTTGACTTGCCCTCTCGTAACTTCTGCATCATATTGATCTCGGACTACAAAATCGGAGCGAGAAATAATAATGGCGGATTGCTCGAAGTGTTGGACCGGTAGTCAATGTCCTTATTTGGCAGTTCCGCTGCAAATACTGTGACGCACTTGCACAAAAAACGTCATAGACAACAGAAAAATCTGAACAGGTTAAAAAAATATGACCAAAACAGAATATAAAGATATAAACGAAGCACCTGAAGAGAATAATTTCATCTTTTCTGTACTTATAAACAATCCAAATATACAACAAAATGCATTTAAGGGCTAAAAAAGTGGATTTTGCATGATATGTCCCCTTTAACTTAGAAAATTTGAGGCAATAAATTGCCTTATACATTATTTTGAGTTTTGCCAACTTGTTCAGGTTTACAGTGAATGTTAATCTTGCATACTGGAATCAAATCTTCAAAACATTTCAATTTTAAAACTGTTAACATGGAAACACAAGTGATAAATCACAAACTAAAGACCTTATAATCCTTAATAATAATAATAATAATATACTTCAGCAGACAAAACTGAATTATTTGGTTCAATCTTTATATTTGGCAAAAACTAACACTTCAGCCTTAACTTTTATTCAGTTTGATGCATGTCAGGTGTGCATGGCCACAATGTTCATTTCCCCAGTGGAAACCATTCGATTTCCATGTGTAAAGTGTATCCACATTGAGTGCCTACTTTCATTATGCCTTGCTATCATACTGAAAAGTAGGCAGTTTGCCTGATTATCTTTACTACATGAAGATAATATGATGCAAAGGATGTGGAGAATAAAAGACATGGAAAATGGAAAAGGGCGTGACAAACAACTGGGCAAATGAGTGATAAGAAGAGATACTGGAGAAGTGGGACATTATTAAAGGGATTGTGAGAGACACAGAGGACCAAACCATCACCGCCATCCATCCTGCCAGCAAAGAGAGAGTGTTGGTGAAGATGTGGAGGTTATTGTGTGTGACTTTGGCTCTGCTCAAATGTGTCAAAGGTAAGATCTCAGAATTGTAGTTCCACCGTAAAACTGATCTGTATTAACTTGATAAGGGGTGTCCAATCCTTTCCTGGAGATCTACCTTCTTACAAAGTTTAGCTCCTGATCAAACACAACAAAACCAGCAAATTAACTTGATAATGGAGCAGGACTGAAGGTAAACTCGGCAGGTAGATCTCCAGAAACACTGAACTAGATCTCAAAATAGTGAATCAGAAGGCAGGCATACTAAGTAAGAAGTAGATATCTGCCATAATAAAACCATTATCAGTAAGGTAGTATTTAAATAATTGTCTTTTTACATGTAAATTTAATGAAAATACTAAAGGTTTTTATGATTTCTATTATAATGTGTAACACATTTTATCTTCCACAGGCAATTCCCTTATGTTAAACCCTCGTATTGTGGGTGGTAATGATGCAGCTGAAGGTTTGAGGCCATGGATGGTCGGTCTGAATGAAGTCACCGGGGAACATTTTTGTGGTGGCTCCCTCATCACCAATGAATGGGTGCTGACAGCTGCTCACTGTGTCAAGGGGTTAGAACAACACACACACACACACACAGATTTGGTGGAATGTTCTTCACTTGTGAAAAAGTGTTCTAAATTGTAATGTGCACTTGTGTACTTTAAATCTTAAAAGTGTTAAGAAATAATGGGCCACTCTAGTATTCTCAAAGAGACACTTTCATTACTGTTTCTCAATGTGCTTAGTTTTTTTTTTTTTTCAAAAGTGTATTTTATAATAATGTAAAAAATAATTTTTAATTGGAAATATGTTTTAAATCATAAAAACATTTTAAAAATCTTTTGCCATGCTTCAAAGAAGAAGACACTTATTTCGATGTGTTGACTAACATAATAAAGCATGTGTAAAGTACTTGATTATAATAATGCAATTATGAAGTTACATATAAAGATACTTAAAGGGATAGTTCACTTTGAAATTAATTTTTGGTATGTTTTATCTTACCTCAAGGGCATCCAAGATGTAGGTGTCTTTGTTTCCACAGTATTTTTGTTGTCTGTCAGTCATACACTGGAGGCTAAGGGGGTCCACCAAAGAGCATGCACAGAGAAGTCCAAATTAAACATGATTTAATGACACGTAAAAGTAAGAACACACTGATGGCCTAAGACACGTAACGAGCGGTTTGTGTGAGAAAACTAACAGTATTTATATTGTTTTTACCTCGTGTAATCACAGTGATCTGAATCAGTTGTTCAATGTCCAACTGAACCGAACTGAATCAGTTCAATGTTACGCCGGAAGTGATCGCTTGCGTGTGACGTCACTCAATATTTACACAGAGATTTCGGAAGTTTTACCTTTTACTAAACATATTTAGATATACCGAAATCGTCTTCCATTGCGGTTTCCCGTATATCTAAATATGTTTAGTGAAAGGTAAAACTTCTGAAATCTCTGTATAAACAAAGAGTGACGTAGGCGCGCATCTGATCACTTCCAGCGCATGCGCAGACCGAAGCGCCCGTGACGTCAGATCATTTTGTCATGGCTATGATTACAAGAGGTAAAACGATATAAATACTGTTCGTTTTCTCACAAAAACCGCTCGTTTCGTGTCTTAGGCCATCAATGTGTACTTACATGTACAAGTCATTAAATCATGTTTAATTTGGACTTCTCTGTGCATGCTCTTTGAGGTGAACTGATTGAGGACCCCCTTCACCTCCAGTGTATGACTGACAGACAACAACGGTTTGACCTAAAAATGTCTAAATTGAAAATACTGCGGAAACAAAGACACCTACATCTTGGATGCCCTTGAGGTAAGATAAAACATACCAACAATTAATTTCAAAGTGAACCATCCCTTTAAGTTGGTCCAAAAAGCACTTAATTGCTTTAAAAAAAAACATCAGAAAAAAAATGACATTTAGTTCACACTTAAGTATTTTGTTTTAAATATGGTATGACATGCATAACAATAAATGTATGAAAAAGCGTACTTCCTTTACTCAAGGGTTGCTATTTTTTTTATTTATTTTTTTTATTCTCTCCCTGTATTCAGGATAGACAAGTCCGATATGCGTGTGCTCTTGGGAAAGAGGACAAAAATGCTACAGGTTGATACTAAACAGAATCCACATGCAATCGAAAGAACTATCAAAGACATCTTTCCCCATCCCGACTATGACTCCTCTACTTACGATAATGACATCGCTCTACTGCACTTGTCCTCCAAAGTCGAGTTTAATGACCACATTAAACCCATGGTTCTAGCAGCAGAGAACAGTGTCTTCGCTACCAAGACCAATAGCTTGATCACAGGCTGGGGAGATATCGGAGAAAACAGTAACACACTTACACAAATACATACTGTTCATTTATTACTTGACATAAAATATCTCCTCCTCCTTCTAACATCTCCAAATGATGTTTGTATGTGTGTGTGTCCAGCGCCTTTACCACCTGATGGGATTCTGCAAGAGACTACTATTGAAGTGTTGGAGAATTCAAAGTGTGCCACTCTTTGTACTGGTATCACAGAAAACATGATTTGTGCTGGTTTAAAGGGTGGGAGCAGAGGCCCCTGGAAGGTATAACAACCAATTCTAGATGAGAATGTGCACAGATAAACTAACTGCATGTTTGAGTGTCCACTAAGGCCCCGTCCACACTACTGCGTTTTCGTTTAAAAACGGAGAATTAAAACGAATACGATCTCCGTCCACACCAGCGTTTTGTCTGCGTATTTAGAATTGATCTCCGTCCACATTAAAACGACTGAAAACGCGGATCACGTGACCATTCACCAACACTGGGCATGCGCGCGCCGGTGTAAACAGTGGTTGGCGAATCAGGGAAGGACACGTCATGACTGATGACACCCAATTCATGAGCCGAGCGTCAGCGTTTCTAAAGTCCTCCGTTTTGTCTCGTCTACACTAACGCCCTCCGGAGATTCAAAACGCAAAACGCAGCTGCAGCGTTTCTAAACTTCTCCGTTTTAGGTCTTCGTTTTTCCCGTTTTAGTGTGGACGGGAGGTGCAAACGTAGCAAACGGTCTCCGTTTTTAAACGAAAACGCAGTAGTGTGGACTAACTAAGGCTACGTCCACATTAATACGGATAGATTTGAAAACGGGGTTTTCGTTTAAAAACGCTCTCCGTCCACACTAGCGTTTTCAGGTGTTTTCCGACATTTCAGTGTGGATGAGAAACTTCTAAATTCACTTTACTGCGCATGCGTGAAACTTCACAAAAGCTCACCGAGATGATACAGATGGGAAAATAAATAATAATGTCATCGCGCAATAACAGGATAATTTTATTTAGCAAAATATCTCACCATCACGGATGCGTCCAGGTCGCATTCAGTCACCATATGTTTGGTCTAAAACGCAACTGCTCTCCTGTTTTGCCGCAGGACAGCAAATGTGAGTAGACTACATAATCTGTTATCTTTGCAGTACTGAGCTATGAAGAATAGCACATATTAAAGGATTAGTTCACTTTTGAAAAAACTTTTGCTGATAATTTACTCACCCCCATGTCATCCAAGATGTCCATGTCTTTCTTTCCTCAGTCGAAAAGAAATTAAGGTTTTTGATGAAAACATTCCAGGATTTTTCTCCTTATAATGGACTTCAATGGGAACCAGGTCCAACCGAGGTCCAAACGACAGTTAATAACAGTTTCAGATGCAGCTTCAAATGTGTTTAAACGACACCAGACGATGAATAAGGGTCTTATCATGCGAAACGATCGGTTATTTCAAAGCTTATTCCAAAAATGTAACTTTTCTATAACTTTTCTTTTCTAAAAATTTCTTTTCGACTGAGGAAAGAAAGACATGGACATCTTGGATGACATGGGGGTGAGTAAATTATCAGCAAAAGTTTTTTCAAAAGTGAAGTAATCCTTTAAGTAACATAGCAAGTAACATATTTTAGCAATAGTGTAAAAATGAATAATAGGCACAATACCGATAAACATGAATATCTATTGGTACTACATGGATCACATGACAAAACTTACGTCATCGTTTTGAAATACCTCCGGTTTCACTGTCCACACTACAACGCGAAAACGGCGTTTTCAAATTTATACACTTTGGACAGCGTTTTCCAAATGATACGTTTTTGTTGACTTAAAACGGCGTCCGAGTGTGGACGGAAGGCCAAAACGGAGAGAAAAATATATGTTTTCAAACGAAAACGTATTAGTGTGGACATGGCCTAATAAACACAACTGTTCTCTCACTTCTCTGTAGGGGGATTCTGGTGGTCCAATGATGAGTGAGCAGTGTTCAATATGGGTTCAGTCAGGTGTAACCAGCTGGGCGGAAAAATGTGCCAAGCCCAAAAGTCCTGCTGTGTACTCTCGTGTGTCCAAGTATCAGAAATGGATCACAGGACATGTTGGTGATGGCCTGGTTAAATTTGTCCCCTTTCCACAAACTCCATGTCCTCCTGCCAGCCATGGTAACATTTTCCTCTTGATATGCATACATTCATACATTTTAAAAAACTAAACAAAGATTTCTACACATTTGTTTTTGTGTCTCTGAAGGTTGATCCAATGAGGCGACTCTGGGGATCCTCATAAACTCACTTGCACACAAGCCTGTCACATGACAAAGTCTTTTACTGTTTTCGGTGAAATTGCGCTGGAAAATCTGCAGTTAGTAACCAGTTTCATTGCAAACAGCCTAAAACTACTTTATATACTGTTTATTTTCTATATGATTTGCAAATATCAAGTACAGCTCTTGGAAATATAAGGTCTTGAAATGAGAGTTTGGGAGAAGAATGTACAACAAGAATATATATGTGACGGTTTATCTCACAAATGTCACAAGTATTCCCTCCACCACCAAACTCATGAAATGCATTATGGAAAATATGTGTAATACTGTACTTCTTGTATGTCATCTGTTCCATATAAATTCGGTTACACCATGGTCATCACAACATGACAGAAAAAGTAGACTACTTCATTATGTTACAGCATGTGCAAAATAATTTTATTTGAATAATTAAACACTTTACAACCGCACACTTTTCTCTTTTGTCTTTTCAAGTCATCAGCTAAAGATTTGTCGTTTGGATCATTTCTTTATTCCTCATAAATATTAGAATATGAGGTATTACAGTAGCCTACATAAAAAAAGTGTTACTTACTTTTTTAAGTTAAACTAACAATATTTATTTACAGTGTCTGTGGTTAACATACAATGTGGTTTCGTGCAAATGAAGTGTTCCAATAGTTTGGTCAATTGATAAAACGTAACAAACAACTTTGCATACATATAGACAGGTGGTTTAAACATTTATCAAGATGTGTGGAGTACTTTTTTATCTTGCACACCTGTTGGTTTTCAATTTTACGTTAAAAAGATAAGAAAAACAGCTAAATATGGCTTTATTTCTTATGTCATTTATACCTTGAAGTTATGTATTTTTCATTGTGCCATGGCTTGCAATAAAAATATTAATAGAGAAAAAAAAAAGATGTGTGGAGTACTTTCTGCCTGAAACAAAACACTATAAACAGATAAACAGATTTTACTTGAACCCCTTTAATTACTCAGTTACCCGTGACTATTTCGGAAAGCTCAGCAAAACCATTAAACCCTTGTGTTTTAGAATCGGGAAGTACAGACTTGACAGCTTTGCTGAAAATGACATTATAAAGTCAACAACTAAAACATGCTCAATTTGGCTTTTAGCAATGCTCCCTAAAAACTGATTTAGCCTATGAAAGATTAGATATAACTAGTTTAGGACATGATAACATGGAATATAAGACTTGTCAGAGTCTAAGACTGGTCAGACTAAATTAAACTTCAACTCCCCCTTGACTGTGGTTATGTCTGCTGATGGGCTGTGGGTGTCAACGTTAACATCATGTGTTGCTTTTATCATGAGCCATTGTGTAGCTGTGCACGCATCAGTGCAGAAACAAGTAACCTGTTGTTTTAATAATATTCACATTCACTAGAAAGTTACATTTAGACTGAACATGTGTCATGTTAGCTATTAGTTGCAACAATAAGTAAGATTAGTTAATAAATGTGCTGCTCTTCTCCATATGCAGATAATGCTTTCTGTGTACAGCCATATCAGACTATCACAGCCCATTCTCACCCCCAAGGCGTCACTTAACTGACGCCTTGGGAAGCATTTGGACATGCTTCAATATCTGACGCTTTAGGCGCCCTTTAGCGTCAGTTAGATGACGCCCTAGGATCGCGTGTACCCTACCCCCACCCCACACCTAAACCTAACCGCGTCCTCGAACTGACGCTTTCCTTTAGCGTCAGTTAGATGACGCCGTAGGATCGCGTCATGTAAGTGACGCTAAAGGGCGCCTAAAACGTCAAATATTGAAGCATGGTCAAAGGTGACGCCTTGGGGTGAGAATGCGTTGACTATCACTATCCCTACCCACAACCTAAGCGCAGGCTTCACTCTTCGCCTGTCACAGTCATATTCATGTCATTGTCTTGTTTAGTTTTAGGGCCAGATTTACTAAACATTAGCGGGAGAGCACAATTACAAAACAGCGCCGGTGGGAGTGGAAAGTTCTGCACGTGATCTACTCACTACACATAGATTAAATAAATGATTTAACAATATACTTCCTGATGACATAAATTGTAAAAAAATAAAATAAAAAATTCAGGCAGAGGTAGCGTAGGCAAGCAGCAGGCTAGGAGAGGGGTCGAGAAGCAGTCACACAATCACTGGGAAACGGTACTTTTCGTAAAAGCAAAACAAAACCTGACACAGAGAGCTGCTTGTGGTGTGGTTAAATAGCCTGATAGATAGGCTGCAGCTGGGCATGGTGATTGGAGTCATTAGAGAGGCTTATGGGAAATGCAGTGCAAGTGAAGATCAGTACTCGGGTGAGGGCACGCTCTGCTGGCCAAAGACAGAGGCTGTTGAGTTCTGGATCGTGACACAGTCATTAGTTTGGAAAACATTAAAATGTCAAATGCTTTTGAAAGAAGTCTCTTAAGCTCACCAAAGCTGTATTGATTTGATCAAAACCACAATATTAAAGTCTAGTTAGTGTTTTGATCAAATAAATATAGCTTTGGTGAGCTTAAGAAACACTTTAAATATTATTACGCTTTAAAATAGCTGTGTAAGACGGGGGCCTGAAAGTCTGGGTCCCCTGCAAGAGAACAAAAGGCTCTCCTGAGAATTAACCTTTGGACTCCCTATTGTATACGTAACAGCAACATCCGAGACGCAGCACACAGTGCAGTACAAAGTTACAGTATGTATGTACAAAAAGTAACTATACATGTTTGGTGTCATTTAAAGTGTCTCAGTGTGCCTGGTAAACTGATCTCATTCTCCAAACCATAATAGAAAGCTAAAAGTTATAAAATATGAGAAAAGTGATGTTGAACTACCTCTCGTATGTAAAACAAGAACCCATTCAAGTACAAATTCAGTTACAAGCCCGTCAATAGGTGACCAAAATCTAATTAATGACAGTCACCACCATTGTTGTCATGATATGATTAACTGATGATTTTATTCTTATGAATTGGATTTGTAATTTTTGCTTCATTACCAGGTCAATAAATTGTAAACATTTGAGACATTGATTTGAGACATCTGTTTTTCCCAAGTAGATTATCGGATTTGTATATTTCCACGAGTTTTGCGTCAGATTAGTGATGACTAATATCTGGCAACGATTCAAATGTACTTGGTTTGCACAAGGCAAGTTATTTCAGTTTAGGGCAGTGAATGCTGTTTTGATCAACCTAAATCTGGGTGCGTCTAATAAATTAATGTTACTTTAGAGTTAAGTTTACGTGATAAATCACGGCCTTGGCCAATCCAAAGCTATTATAAGAGAAGTAAAGTTTGTCGACTAAATAATTAATAGTGGCCAAAACCAAGGCCAAATCAAGGGTATGCATTGATCAGAACTGGGGAGATTGTGTCGCGAGACCTGTGAACGACTCAAGGACCTCAAAGTGATATAGTTTCCTAATCCGAGTGGGTAAAATATAATTAAAGGGTTCGTATATCTTTATTGCAGAGTAGACTCGTAATACATGCTGCCTCGGCAACGCGAGATCTCAGTCACAGAATCTTTATTGCAAAAATTTAGGACACTGGGTTTGGAGACACGGGACGAATGCGGTTCATCCCACGATCTCGTGATCTTTTTGTGGAGATCGTGGAAAAATGGCAAACCCCCGGCGCTGAGGCTGTGACCCGTGCCGCATGAAATGCTCATCTAATTTACTTTGAACTTGCGTTCCCTGCTGATCTTGTGGCCAGCTGATGTTAAGTCTGACCACGGCACGAGTCACCTCACCAGTTCCTCATATGCTTGGCCGTGAACTGGCGTGCCTAACTCACGGCCATCCGCATCGATACTGAGCACGTCTACTTCCTCGGAAGCAGAGAGCCCGAGTATCGGAACCTGATAGTGGCCAGAAGAAGCCGCGGCGGAGGGCAGGGATGCACACATCTTTTAAATTGTTCGCTGGCCATTTCTAGTTCAAACTGAGTGACAAACAACACCAAATAAGACAGACAGTTTTTCAACACAGAGCGCTTGCTGAAGAGCGAAAGCTAGTGTGTGTTGTGACAGCGTCACTTTTATACTTCCGGGTATGCCGTCACATGTTACGTCACGACGCAACACCAATCAGGATTGGATTCGTTTAATTCATACTTCAGAGGCGCATGTTAGGGAGCGTCCCCAAAGTGTCGATTCTCGACGCAGTCTAGAGTTCCCTCGAAAGGGAACTAGGGAATGAACTTGCGCACCCTGGGCGGGTCGGCGCAAAAAGGAGGTGTGTTTCGCCGCAAACATTCCCTGGTGCTATTTTGCAGTTCCAGAAAACATTTGTGCCAATGACCAGAATAAACCCGGTCTAAAGTCAGTGGCGCGTTGTGCGTGTATTCATCCATGACAATGGGAAAAATAGGCATAGACCTTACACATTTACCCAAATTATTATAAGCATGTTTAACCAAAGCTAATTTGGGTGGGTTTGTCCCATCCTCCAATGTCACTTCTCTTTCTTTTACGGCCCTGACGAGAACATCAATCTTCTTGGCTGTGAATCGATTGTGAATCTCTTATTGGTTTGTTTCCCGTTATGCCCAGACCACACCTAAAAATAATAAAGCTACTTCAGACCAACCCCTTTTAAACTTGCGTCGGGCGCAGGAGTCATTTATCCCGCCGGTAAAACAGCAACAGCGCTCAAGACCCGCCCACAAAGTTACTTGCGCTTCTCGCTTGATACTTGCTTTTCAGATCGTTAAAATAGGGCCCAAGAGGTTAAAGTGGCTGACAATAATAAATATATTAGAAATCAAACTGCCTCATTTTTGAGCTGTGCATAAGTGAAGCTGAATAGTTAGGCCTACTATGCTACTGTATTTTCATATTGGTCATTATATGGTGGTACTTGAAGAGCCAAATATTTTCTGAGGTGGTACTTAGTGTAAATAGTTTGAGAACTACTGCCCTTGTCACGAACGCCGGTGAAGATTCCCCTGTTGGCCACCGGAGGTCTCACTCTCCTGAATACTAGCGGCAGTGGCTCAGTGGTTCATGTGGGTTGTCTACGAACCGAAAGGTTGGTGGTTCAATCCTCGGTTCCACCTGACCAAGTGTCGAGGTGTCCGTGAGCAAGACACCTAACCCCAGCTGCTCCCGACGAGTTGGCTGGCGCCTTGCATGGCTGACACCGCCGTCGGTGTATGAATGTGTGTGTGAATGGGTGAATGTGAGGCAAATGTAAAGCGCTTTGGTGG